AAGCGCAACGACTTGGCGTTCCCATACGATGAACTGAGAACTTTCCTCAGCAAGAGAATCAGTCCCGTGGGAAGGGCCGGGCGCAGCAACAACTCTGACGACATCAGGCTTAATTTCACGCAATTATCAGACCCGCATCCGACGCTGACAAGGCAATTGTGCCAATAAGTGAGTCTAACACGAAGTGTCAAGCCAGTACCGCATCAATTAAGACCCAAACGGTGGTTACAGAAGTGAATAATTATCACACCCACGCGGATGACCACTATGGACTATAAATATCATACAACCTGTACATGTTTCAAATTTATCTGCGCATGACCATGACTATGTTCCCATCACCTATGATTAAGGATTCCCGACGGAATCCGAAACGCCAGGAAAATAAAACTCTTGTTCCAATGATTGCATCCTCTTCTTCCGAACTGCTTCCTGGAACTCGCATATTCTGCACTATTGGAAAGTAACGTGATGTTTGTTTACCCAGTGCCCTTTTCTGCTACGGTACTTGATAATGGGTTTGAGCAAGAATCCAAAAGGTCAGGCCAACAAAGTTACTGATCACTGATCGCATCTTCTCTTCTGGAGTACTTTCTGGAACTCATTATCGTTTCTGTCGTAAAACCGATGTGAAGGGAGCTCCTGTGAAGGCAACCTTCCCGTAAAGATGCGAAACTCGACTTACAGCAGATATTATTTTCCTTACCTGAGGTCAACCCATCAGTGGCAGTTGCACTCCATTATCTAGAACCATCTCTTCTACAAAGTCCGAATTCGGGATGTCATTGGCGTTTTCCTAACCTGCCAGTTTAGACAGCTCGGCAGACCTGATGACGATATCGCCCAGGACACCACCTCGTCAATCCAGCGGCACATGCTGACGACATACAAGCCTTCAACTGAAGGCATGGGTGGACATGCGGAGAACCTACTTCGTCCGCAGTGCTAGATCTACGATCGAGCGGGTTGGTGGGCTAAAGGGCTCACTGTCAGTCGGAAGCCTGCCTCGAACTTAATGCACTTGACGGTGGTGAAATTACAAAATCGAGATGAGTAGCTCATTCCCTAAGAATAGCCAGAATATATCAACAAGCAAGTACGTAATTATAAACTCACACAAGCCGTCTCAAACTCCGACTTGATATGCATGCCGCAGGGTCTAAAGGGCTGGAAGACCAACTTCCCCTGATGGGTAACCCATTCGTTCTGGGGCACTTCCCACAGCGGTATCCGCAGGATTGCTTTGGGTTCAATGGTCTGGCGCAAGAATACTTTGCAGGCTAAAATGCACCAATGGGAAAGTGTCAGGCGAAGCCTTCATGAGAGTAGTACACATGAAACACAGTAAAACCACACAGATTATGCATTATGGACATCTGTCAGACATATTCTGCTATGAAAATTTCCCGGAGTATTGAGATAACATCGAAGCCGAAAGGGGTTCACATAAGAAACCTACCTATGCAGGGAAATGTTACATCAAAGTTGCCAGTTTGAAAAAAATTGTATCTCTTTTTTACTCTGTTTTTTCTGTTATGTGAAGAGGATGTTAGATTTGCAGCTCGTCGCGTAAATCTCTACTGGAGTCTGGGATCTCTAAAAATACCTCTGTTGCTCTGTTCAAATGCAAATTACTTGGTGAGGGCAATAGGCAATGCCTTTTGAAATCCCACTGTTTACATAGCGCTGCGTAATGCATAATTATACGTTCACGCTTAAACAATTTTAACTTTTAAAACAGTACTTACAAACTGCGAGTAGCACTCTTTTACAGATAACTTTGACCTAGCATACTCGGAGGGGGAACGTACTCTGTGTCAGATGCTGCATTGCCTGCGCGTGCTTGTAGGTCAGCCCTCTAGCTGTAAAACGCATGATGCGTTTGCGTCGGTTGTGGTCGAAGTAAGGCGACTGGAAGGGCAGGGTTCCGACGATGAGGTAGTACAAAATGATGCCCCTGGGTAATTAAAAACATTCGTACGAACAATAAGTGCTCACATACGCTTTTGCGTTATGATTATATAAGTATTGGGAGGCAGGCATGTCAAGAAATAAAATTGAGGGTAGTTCAGCTCTTTGGGAACCAAAAAGACAAAAGGAGGCTGGAATAGCCATTCCTAGCTTAATAGCCGTCGTCATATCCAATCCGAGGTGTGGATCACCCGAGTAACGGGCTCTTTGTTTTGTCGTTTGCGATGGGGAAGACGATCGTACTTTGGAACCCATCGATCTGCTTGCAGAAAATGCCTGTCCCGGCAGAATTCCATGATTCTGAATGGAGTCCCATCATGGGCATAATAGGACGCTTGTGTTCCATAAGGGAACCGGTGAGCCCCAAAAT